GTGCGTGCTCACAGAGAAAGACGAAGAGACAGGGAGGGAGAAAGCAGCCTTAAGGAGGTGTGGGCGCACTGCAGCCCTTCCTCCTCCATTCTCTTCTACTTCTCCATCTTGTTGGGATTTGGGGCACAGCGCACACAAGCGCACCTGGTATTTCTCAAGCTGCCAGGGCCAGGATTTGAACCGCAGTTAGCCAAGTAGGATCTGGCTCCCTTCTATTAGGTGACAGGCTGGCCCTGATGCACGCCTTTAAAAATCTCAGCTCACCGTGGGAGGGGGTGGCAGCGGCTGCAGGGCAGCGCAGTGGAGTGGAACCTGCTGCCGTGGTGACGTCAGGGTCGCCTGTCCACCCAGCCCTTCCTCCTGCTTGTAAATTCCCCTCTGGGATTAAACCGCCATCAGACCCTTACGGAGGCACCTGTTTCCGTTTCCAGGCTCAGCGCAAAGGCTCCCTTTAGCTCGGGTCCTGACTCTCTTGGTGGACAGTGCCACCTCCTTCCTCCTGTCCCTGCGTGCGGCGCCGACCATCTGCGAAGCTGTGACCACGTCAGAATATCTCGGTAGCCTGACTAGTGTGGGGTGGGTGGAGAGCCAGAGAATCACGAGACAGCCAAAAATATCCCAGCAGAGGCTACTTTATGTGGTAAGAGAAGTTTACGTGAACGTCACGGAAAAGGCGGCTCACTACTAAGTTACACCTGTACAGAGGGTCCCAAAGGCGAAGCGGGTGGCACTGGGCCTGCTTCAGAAGCTCTTCACAGCGTCCTTCACTCTTCCCTGCGGATACACTCTGGCATTAAGTGGACTCTGCCTGGCCTCGAGCTCTGGGACAGAGATTTCCAGGGAATAAACACCTCACGTACGTAATATTGCATCATGCTTCTCCCCACCCCTAATTTTTAAAAAGAGCTGTTTCATTTCACTTATTATTACTGTTATTTTTTATTTGCTAAAGGGCACACAGGCTCACCACACTAAGCCACATCATGGACTTCCCCATTTTACATTTGCCTCAGGGCATGTGCCCTCACCAGGCAGAGCCTAGACTCTGGACAGTTTCAAAAACAGGTACGATTGGGACCAGCAGACGGCGAATGTTTACAGCACTGGGACTCCCACGTAGTCGACTGCAGTTCAAGTCCCGGACCTAGTGGCTTAAAACTCACGTTGCGTGCTTGTGCATGCGTGCCCAAACCCGACAGAACAGAGAAGGGACTGCAGTGTGGCCATGACTCCTGGGTGGCGGGGGTGGGGGGTGATTTCTTGCTTTCTGTCTCTCTGCCTCTCTGGCAAGCACATGTGCTCCTATAGCAAAGACTGCTCTCAAAACAAAAAAAGGGGGGGGGGGAAGGGAGCCAGCCGGCAAATAGCATGGTGGCTAAAGGCACTGGACTCTCACATGGCCGACTGCAGTTTAGGTCCCGGAACTGGCAGCTTGCTCTCTCACTTTCCCTCTCTCTCTGTCCCTCTCTGGTCAAAATTAACTAATAAATAAAGTTAAGTAAAATAATTCTTTTTTCTTTTTTTAGAGGTTTTTGCTACAGGGCACATGTGCTTGCCAGACAGAGAGAGAGAGACAGAGATAGAAAGCGAGAAATCACCCCCCAGGGGGGATGGTCACGCCGCAATCCCTTCTTCTCCATTCTCCTCTTGGGATCTTGGGCACGCACGCACACACGCCCGGTGTGAGTTTAAGCCACTGGGCCCAGGACACGAACCACAGTCGACTATGTGGAAGTCCAGCATCTACTATTTTATGAGGCTTCTTGGTGACTTTTTTTTTTTAGTAATAATTATTTATTTTATTGGAACCAGGAGATAGCATAATGGCTATGTCACTGGACTCCCACGTAGTAGACGGCAGTTCGAGTCCAGGACGCAGTGGCTTAAACTCACCCCAGGCGCGTGTGCATGTGTGCCCAAGATCCCGAGAGGAGAATGGAGAAGGGATTGCAGCGTGGCCATCCCCACTGGGGGGTGGTTTCTTGCTTTCTGTGTCTCTGACTTTCTGGCGAGCACATGTGCCCTATAGCAAAAACCTCTCTCAAAAAAAGAGAATTATTTTTTTTATTATTATTTTCACATGAGTTTACCAGAGAGAGAGAAAATGAGAGAGAGAGAGAGACAGAGGGAAAGTGAGAAAGCAAGTCGCCAGGTCTGGGACTTGAACCACAGGCCGCCATGTGGAAAGTCCAGTGCCTTAACCACTACACCACCTGCTGGCCCTGATGTAGTAGTTTTAACTGGTTAAGTTTAGAGTGGCTACACTAGTGGGTGTCTTTTGTTTTTTTAAGAAATATTTATTAAGTTTTGGGGGACCAGCAAATGGTGTAATGGTTACATTGCTGGACTCCCATGTAGTCGACTATAGTTCGAGTCTCAGACCTGGTGGCTTAAAATTCATGCCAGGCACGTTTATATGCATGCCCAAGATCCCAAGAGGATCCTGGAGAAGGAACTGTGGCGTGGTCATTGCCCCTGGAGGGGGTGATTCTTCTCTTTCTGTCTATCTCTCTGGTGAACACATGCGCCCTATAGCAAAAACCTCTTAAAAATACATATGCATATATATTTATTAAATTTTATTATTATTTTTTAATCTGACCAGAGAGAGACAAAGTGAGAAAGCAAGCTGCCAGGTCTGAGACTCGAACCATGGTCTGCCATGTGGGATTTCAGAGCCTCAACCACCACACCACCTGCTGGCCTCACCAGTGGGTGGTTAATATGATGAATGTCATTAGCACTGAGGACAGGGTGTTAATATTGGGGGCAGCAGGTGGCATGGTGGTTAAGGCATTGGACACTCCCACAGGCCAACTGTGGTTCAAGTCCCAGACCTGGTGGCTTGCTTTCTCACCCTACCCCCTCTCTGGTCAAATTAAAATTAATTAGTTAATTAATTGTTTAAAAAAGGCAAGTCAGTGGACTAGCAGATAGCATAATAGTTACGTTGCTGGACTCGCACGTAGTTGACCGTGGTTCAAGTCCCAGTCCCTGCAACTTAAAACTCACGCCAGGCACGAGTGTGTGTGTATCCTAAATCCCGAGACTAGAGAAGGGATTGCAGCTTGGTCATCCTTCCTAGGGGGTGACTTATTGCTTTCTGTCTCTCTTTCTCTGTCTGGCGAGTGCATGTGCCCTATAGGAAAAATCTCTCCCAAAAAAAGACTGCTTGTTTTGCCAGCATCAAGAAAAGCAAGTAAGTTAGGGGACCAGCATGGCGAAATGGCCACCTTGTCGACTTCCATGTGATTGACTGCAGTTTGAAATCCCAGCACAGTGGCAACAATTCAGGCCAGGTGTGTGTGTGCCCAAAATCCCGAGAGGAGAATGAAGGAAAAGGGACTGTGGGATGGCCATCCCCCTGGAGCTTGATCCAACATGGCTGGCTTTGTGGTTCGAGTCCCAGACCGGGTGACTTAAATTCACGCTGGGCATGTGTGCATGCATGCCCAAGATCCCAAGAGGAGAATGGAGAAGTGATGCGGTATGGCCATCCCCGCTAGGGGGTGATTTCTCACTTTCTGTCTTTGTGGTGAGTGCACGTGCCCTGTAGCAAAAACCTCTCCAAAAAAAAAACCCAAAACAAAACAGAGCACACACACACTCTATAGCAAAAAACAAAACCAAGACCAAAACGCAAAAAACAACACTTAGGAGACTCAATTCCCTAAGTATCAGGACAAAAAGAACTGTCTACTTATATAAATCTAAGGTCTGGGTCTGGGGCTCTCAGGATTTCTGTACCACTTTATCAATAAAAATCTGGTCTGCTGAGACCAGCAGTTGGCCTAATGGCCATGTCGCTGGACTCCTATGTGGTTGACAGGGGTTCGAGTCCCAGACCCGGTGGCTTAAACTCAGGCCGGGCGCATGTGCGTGTGTGCCCAAGATACTGAGAGGAGAATGGAGAAGGGATTGAGGCAAGGCCATACCCCCGGGGGGGGATTTCTCGCTTTCTGTCTCTCTGTCTCTCTCTGTTTCTGGCAAGTGCATGCGCCCTATAGCAAAAACCTCTCCAAAAAAAAAAAAAAAATCTGGTCTGCTCTCACAAGGAACATCTCCTCTGGCAGCTCATTTACCACTGATGCAAACATGGAGCCTGAGTTCTGAGCTGGTGCTACAGCTCAGTGGTGATGGGCGTGCAGCTCAACAGGAGCCAGACTCCACCTGGAGACTATGGTTCGATCCCCGTCCCCTCAGCTGGAGCGTGCCTGGCACACACCCGAGTTCCCAAGGTCCCCGTGGGCTGGAGGGCTGAGTGCAGGGTCCGGGATGACCGGCCTGTGGAGGGAGCTCCTCTCTCTCATGTGCACGTGCAGGCACTGTGACTGAGAACTGTGTCTGTAACCACAGTGGTGCTGCACTAAGCTACCCAGTCACTTCCAGCGCTGTGCGGGCTGCCCAAATGAACAGTCTGCCTAAAAACGGATAAAGTTTTAGCATCAGCTCCTTTGTGCACCCTCGCTGCCTCAAACACCAGATAATTTCACAGGACTCATTTAGAAATATCTGGCATGGTGGTCGGGGTGCTGGACTCCCACGTGGCTGACTTAGAGACTGGAGTCCTAGACCTGAAAACCATGCCAGGCGTGTGTGTGTGTGCATACCCAAAACCCCGAGAGGAGAATGGAGGAAAAGGGTTTGTGGCCTGGCCATTCCCTCCGGGGGTGACTTCTCACTTTCCCTCTCTGGCTCTCTGGTGTGTGCACACACTCTATGGAAAAAACAAAAACAAACAAACAGAAAAATGATTAGTCTTGCAAGCCATTCATTTAAAAGAAAAGGAGTTGAAATTCCTATGTTATTTTGACTAAAAAAAGAAACATCTGTACACCTACACAGAACTGCGGAGACCGAGGAGTGAGAAAACAGAGACAAGCCATTCACTAAGTAGAAACAGTTTTAACAAGGAGTTATAGAAAGCTCAAGTAGAATATTTTCAATTACATACTTTATTCAAAATAGTTCATTTAAAATATATACATTATTTTTTCAAAGCAAAATAAAATAAATATTTCAAAATAAAACGCCTAAGTTTTCATACAAGATCATGTCAGTTTTACTCACGCCTGCCCAGTGGCACCTGCACGTCCTGGAGTCTCTGGTGCCCTCCAGTGACACTTCATCAGACTGAGTGTCCAAAAGGTCATCCCGGACAGCTCCGGACGAGTAAGTGACACGGCGGGACTCCTGCCGTTCCCACCCTGCCACTCCCGGCCGCTCCCTTCTGCCTTACCGAGGGCAACCTCAGTGAGGGCCTTGGTCTTCAAGGCCATGTACAATGTGGGTCTCTGATGCCCAGCCAAGCTCGGCGCAGGAATGTTCTCATCAGCATTGGAGGGAGCAGCGACTGAGAAATCCAGGCGCCGATGCGGACCCCGGCAAGGCTAACAGGCCGGTGCCGACGAAAGCCCTGCAAGGAAAGCCTTTGAAGCACCCTGGCCGTGGCTGTCTGCATTGGCACAAAGCCTGCTGCTTTGGTCACTCTCGGTCTGCATCTTCCGGTGCAGTGACTAATCCTTGAGCTTCCGGACGCAGACCTCTTCCCAATGGGGCTGCGTCCAAAGGGAGACCTCAACAGAGTCTAAGTTCGTTTTCCAGACCGAACACTTTGGACTTGAGGTTCTTCAGCTCTCCTTGGATCTTATGTGCACGTCTATTGCTGTCGCGGACCTCACACAGAATGGCCAGGTCCTGGTTTGCCCGGACATTCACTGTCGCCTAGAGTTGAAAAAGAAGTCAAAATGATGATGGCGTACCTAGGGGAGAGGAGCTGGTCATGAAGGCCAGGCAATGTTGAAGCCCTTGGATGAGATTATTATTTTTAATGCTTTTGATTTTTTTTTTTTTTTTGGCAACAGGGTGTATGCACTCACTATAAAGAGAGAGAGAGAGAACATGAGAAATCACCCCCCAGGGGGACGGCCATGTAGCAGTCATTTCTCCTCCGTTCTCTTTCTGGGATTGTGAGGATGCATGCCATGTGCCCAGTGTGTTTCAAACCACCAGGTCTGGGACTCAAACCAAGTCAGCCATGAGGGGGTCCAGTGCCTTAACCACTACACTACCTGCTGGCCCCCCTTTGATGAGATTTATAGTACACAAGATAAACCCAAGCCTCAATTTAGTGACCAGCTGAAATAAAAACGTAGAATTAAAGCAGAAAAGGCCTGAGAATCTTTGCTTGCCCATACGATAATAGCGGAGCTTGAGACAGACCAACGAGCTCGCGTGGGCAGGGAGACCAGGACCGATGTCGCTGGAGCTTCCTGAGGACGAGGGCAAGGCCCTCCCCTCCCATGTAAGCAACCTTGCTCGAAACACAGTGGTCACATGTGCGGGAATTTCTGCCTCCCCTCTAGCAGGTGCTGGTGGAACTGATCTTCAGGGAGGCTTAAGGGAGGATAGAGCTCTGTCAGTATCTCCCAGCAGGGAGGCAGCACACCCTTCTCGTGAAGAGGCACCATGACCACGTTTCCACCCCTATTCTCCCATCCGGTCGTTCAAGAAAGCGACTTACCTTATAGAGCATTTGCTCCAAGTCTTTCAATCTCTGTCGGAGAGCCTTAATATCTGTCTTGAAGCCCTCCACTTCCAAGAGACGCCGACGCTCCAAGGCCTCGTAGCGTTTTGTCATGACTTGTAATCGCCTCCCCATCTTGTTCGTGCGGTCCTGCCACGGGAAGTGAGAGGAAGCGGGGAGGTGAGGGGAACACCCCAGCCGCCTGCACTTCCCCACTCTGCAAGTGGAAGGGTCCCTACCTTGAAGATCTCCCTTCTCACCGCCTCTTCCTCGCGAATGCGGGCGAGCTCCTCTTCAAGGGAGACGCACTGCCCCTGGTACATGCTGGATAGCTTCTTCTCCTGCACCAACTTGTCCTTCAGCGACTGCAGGGGCAAACACCGGTGCTCACTCTACAGTGTACTAACCCAGACAGCCGCTAGCTACAGAGAGAAGGAAGAGGACTTCTAGAGGCGCCACGAGTTAAGGCACAAGTTGGCAAGGAACTTTTGAAAGCCTCTATTTCTAGACTATTCCTTTAATCCTTTCTCTAAGCGCACATGAGAGAAATTATTGAAATACAAGTATTTTTGGCTCTAGGTAGAGTCTACAATGGAATCCATACCAAGTAAGACAGTATAAAGTATGTTCTGGGCTGTGTCTGAAGTTCTTCTCTAACAAGGAAGAAACATCGGGGTTGGCAGCTGCAGTGGTGGTGAAGGGCACTGGACTCCCACATGGCTGACCGTGGTTTGAGTCCTGGACCTGGGGCCTTGCTCTTAAACTCCCCGCCCCACCTACTGTCCCTCCTCTCTGGCCAAATCAAAATACATAAATAAAATTAAATAATTCTTAAAAAGGCGGGGGAACATCCACAAGAACACTTATCATGCGTGTTCCATTGAGCAGCCCAGATTTTCCCCACAGGGTACATGTGCTCCCCAGAGAGGGAACGTGAAAAATCACCCCCCGGGGAGATGGCTGTTTCAGTCGCTTCTCTTCCACTCTCCTCTGGGGTTTTAGGCACGCATCTGGTGAGATTTTTAAGCCACCGGGTCTGGGACGCGAACTGCAGTCAGCCATGTGGTAGTCCAGCGCATTAAGAAGGATCTTTTAAAAACTCACATCATGGTTGGCCAGCAGGTGGTCTGCTGGTTAAGGCACTGGTTCCATGGCTGACTCTGCAGTTCAAGTCCTGGGCCTGGTAGCTTGAAAGACATGCCGGGTGCATGTGCATTCATGGCCAAGATCTGGAGAGGAGAGCGGAGAGAAGCGGAGAGAAGGGACTGCATCGTGGCCGTGCCCCGGGGGGGATTCCTCTCTTCCTCTGTGCACGTTCCCGGTGAGCACCTGCTCTACAGCAAACTTGGAACACTCAGACCCTGTCCCTACTCACGCACAAGCCCTGAAAGTCCTAGAGCTCACCTCACGCTCTTCCTCCCGCCCTCCCCCAGGGCCGGCGAGGCCCTCCCTGCCAGCGCCTGCCTTCCACCTGCACCGGGCCCCGTCCTCCCTGCTATTCCTCCGCGGCCGTGCTGGCCTTCCTCTTCCGGGAACACACTCCAGGAAACGGCCCTTATTTGTTTTTTTCAGTTAAAATGTTAAGCAAAGTGAGCCCGACTTGAAAAGATCATCGTGGGCCGGTGGGTGCCGTGGTGGTTGAGGCACTGGATTCCCACACAGCTGACCGTGAGTCCCAGACCTGGCAGCTTGCTTTGTAACTTTCTTTCTTTCCTTTTTTTTTGGAGAGGTTTTCGCTATAGAGTACGTGCACTCGCCAGACAGAGACAGACAGAGAGACAGAAAACGAGAAATCACCCCCCGGGGGGATGGCCACGCCTCAATCCCTTCTCCTCCATTCTCTCGGGATCTTGGGCACACACATGCACATGCCCGGCGTGAGTTTAAGCCACTGGGTCCAGGACTCGAACTGAGGTCAACTACATGGGAGTCCAGCGACATAGCCATTACGCCAACTGCTGGTCCCATCTTGCTTTGTAACTGTCTTTTTCTCTCTCACCCTCTCTGGTGAGCACATATGCCCTATAGCAAGTTAAAATAATAGTAATAATAATAAAATTAAGAAGAAAAAAAGATACACATTGTGGGGCCAGCAGGTGGTGTGGTACTTAAGGCACTGGACTCCCACAGGGCTGACTGTGGTTTGAGTCCTGAATCTGGAGGAGAGCTTTCTGTCTGTCTCTGCCTCTGGTCAAATTATAAATAATATTAATATATTATAATATCAATAATGTTAATAACAGATAACATTAAAATTTTTTTCTTTAAGAGTTGAATAGGTAAGTGGGAGCTGGAGTATAAGCCTTTGGTTATAAAGTGACTTACTAGTTATAGGACCATTGAAAAACTAGCTTTCTCCAGTTTTGTTTTTGTTTTTTGAATTACTTACTTTAGTTTTATTTATTCATTCATTTATTTTGACTGGAGAGAGACTCAGAGAGAGAGAGGCAAAGTGAGAAGGCAGGCCACCAGGTCAGGGACTCCAGCTGTGGTCAGCCATGCAGGAATGTTCAGAGCACTAACCACCATGCCAAACCTGCTGGCCCCAGAGTAAGTAATTCTTGAAAAATTAATAATAAAATAGGGGCCAGCAGATGGCACAGTGGTTATGTCACAGGACTCCCACTTGTACGATTTGTAGTTCTGGACTCAGTGGCTTGAAACTCACGCCAGGCACATGTATGTGGTGTGCCCAAAATCCCGGGAGGATGGAGAAGGGACTGTGGCATGACCATGTCCCCGAGGGGTGATTTCTCACTTTCTCTGTTTCTCCAATGTGTACACACACACTACAGCAAAACATCTCTCTAAAAATATATAAATGATAAACTTTTGCTTACAAGAGGAAAACAAATCCTAACATTACGTTGTGCTATTTGAAATAGTTCACAATAGTGTATATTTGTTCATTTATCTGTCAACAAGAGTATTTGGCCTAAAAGAGAGGTCTGACTGGTGTGAAATGTTGACAATTTTTTTACAAAATTGCAATATTCCAACAAATTTGTCGGTTTTTTGAGTTAACTGCCATGCCCCCTGCTGGTCCAGACCCCTCGTATTTCTAACAGGAGGCAGGATAGATTCTGGGCCTTTAAACTTGCTCGGCCTTCTGCCAAGAATGCTCTTCTGGATGGCAGGCGGTCCCAGTTTTCAGGTCTCAGCAAAAACACCAGACACAGGACAGTGCCCTGCACACCCCTTCCAAAGCTTCCAGAGCCACATATAATTGCCGTACAATTCTTTCATTCCCTTAAAGTCACCGTTTTTTCCCGCCATAGGGTATGTGTGCTTGCCAAAGAGCGCGCTCAGGGGAAGGGGAAAGCGAGCAATCACCCTCGGGGGGCTGGCCATGCTGCAATCCCTCCTCCTCTGTTCTCGCAGGATCTTGAGCACACGTGCACACGCACCTACCATCTTTTCCAAGCCACCAGGCCTCGACTCAAAGTGCACCTTCAGCCAGGTGAGATCCAGCTGCTTCGACCAACAAACGTGGCCCGAGCCTTATTCATTTAATTCCCTAGAGGGCGCACGTGTGCTCTCCAGCAAGAGACAGACGGTCAAAATTGGAAAGTGAGAAAGCTCTCCCATGGGCAATGGTCACGCTGCAACATCTTCACTCTCTCTCCCCTCTCACAGGACTTTAGGTACACGTGCACAGGGTCCTGGCATGCGTGCTAAGCCACCAGTTCAGGGACCTGAACCACACAGTGGACCATGTGTGATCCGGCCCCTTAACCACCAGGCCATGGGCTGGCCAAAGCCTCCCTTCTATAGCCTGTTATTTTCCTGGTTACTGGTTCACGTTTCTATTTAATTTCACCCATTAAAATGTAACCACTGTGAGGGTGACCTTACCTATTTCCTTACTGTAGACCCAGAACCCAAGCATGGTAGGAGTGCAATACATACTTACCGAGTCAATGAGTAAAGACCAATATTTTTGGCCAGCCCCCGTAGCCTGGTCACTAGATGAGCTAGATCCCACGTGGTTGATCAGTTTGAATACCAGCCCTGTGGCTTAAAAACATGCTAAGCAGGCCAGCAGGTGGCGTGGTGATTAAGGTGCCAAATCCCACATGGTTGATTCCACCGTTCAAGTCCCAAACCTGGGGGCTGAGAGGAGAATGGAGAAAAGACTGCAGCATGGCACCTCCCGGAGGTGGAGGGAAGGGTGATTTCTCACCACCCGCCTCATCTTTCTCTTCCCAGGAAGTACACACACCCTGTAGCAAAACCTCTAAGAACATGGGGCCAGCAGGTGGTGCAGAGGTTAACATGCTAGAATCCCTCATGGAGACCACTGTTCGAGTCCCAGACCTGGTGGCTTGCTTTCTCACTTTCCCTCTCTCTCTGGCTCTCTCTGGTCAAATTAAAGAATAAAAACTATAATAAAAAATAAATAATTCTTAAAAAAAAAAGGAACCAGCAGGTGGGGGTGGTGGCTAAGGCACTGGGCGCTCCCACACGTGTCCCAGACCTAGTGGCTTGCTTTCTCACTTTCTCTCTCTCTCTCACTTTCTATCTCTCTCTGGTCAAATTAAAATAAATGAATGAATAAACAAAATGAAATAAATTATTCTTTTTTTAAAAAAAAAACCCTAACAATAAAAAGAAAAACATGCTAGACGTGTGTGTGCATACCTAAAGTCCTGATAGGCTGAAGAAATGGAGACGGGATTGTGGCATGACCCTGTTTCCCTGGGGGTGGTTTGCTCCCTCTCTCTCTCTCTACACGAATGACCAGCTACAATCGGAAACCCATTTCTTGCGGCTGCTGCTACAGAAGCTTCCTGGACTGGAGACCAGAAGATGCCTTAATGGTTTTATCACTGAATCCCCATAGTTGACTGTGGTTCAAGTCCCAGACCTGCCAGCTTAAACTCATGCTGGGCACATGTGCGTGCGTGCCCAAGATCCCGAGGAGAATGGAGAAGGGATTGCGGCGTGGCCATTCCTCAGGGAGGGGGATTTCTCACTTTCTGTCTCTGTCTCTCCCGTCTTTCCAGTGAGTGCACGCATTCTATAGCAAAAACTTCTCTTCAAAACAAACAAAAAGCTTCCTGGACTGAATGAACTTTATAGGACAATTAGAGTCTTTGAAATCAGGAAAATATACAATTTCTGTCAGACATAAGGACATTACCTTAATATATTCATTTTGAGTATGATGACTCTCATGGAAAACTGGCAAGACTTTTCCAACTTTATCTTCTTTCTTCTTACACTGCACCCTGTACTGCTTTATCTTTGACAACAAGCAGTCCTTTTCGAGCATCCATGACTTCTCTTTGTTTTGGTTTTCAAACCTGAGTTGTAAATAGTCTTTGGTACTCTCATAGAGCAGTTCTTGGGTGTGATGGAGACTGAAAGAAAGGACAGACATGGACAGGAAGCTGCTTACACAGCACATCTGAACGCAGCTGCCTCCACACAGGAGACACAGGTTCTTCTAGAGTTGCACAATATAGGAAACTGATAGGTGGCATGGTGGTTAAAGGTGCTGGACTCCCACATGGCTGACCACGGTTCAAGTCCAGGACCTGGCAGCTTGCTTTCTCACTTTCCCTCTCTCTGTCTGTCCCTCTCTGGTCAAATTAGAACAAACAAACAAAGTTATGTAAAAAAAAAAATACTCTTTAAAAACAAAAGCTGTACAATATGTAAGTTCCGTAAAATATCATTAGCCATCCTGAAAATGTACTACCATCTGAGCCCAGCGGGGGTGGCACGTGTTGCTAAGGAACTGATCTGCAGGTTGAGACACGGGAGCAGGTGATTCGCAGTCCAACCTAAAGCTGGGCACAGGGGCAGGTGCATGAAATCCCCACGACCGGGAAAACTGAGGCAGGAGGACTGTGAGCCTGAGGCTGGCCTGGGACACTGGTGAGACCCTATCTGAAAATGTCAGGGTGGATGGCAACTGTGGAGGCTGACTGGAGAGTCCTAACAGAGCGAGACTATCTTTAAAACACACGCTTGGAGCCAGCAGGTGGCATGGCAGTTAAGGCGCTGGACTCCCTCCCACAGGGCTGACCATAGTTTGAGTCATGGACACGGCGGCTTGAAAATTGTGCCGGGTGCATGTGTGCGTGCCTAAAATCCTAGGAGGATGGAGGAGCAGGGATTGTGGCATGGCCATACCTCTGTGGGGTGATTTCTTACCTTCCCTCTCTCCATCTCTCCAGTGAGCATGCACACCCTATGGCAAAAACCTTTAAAAAAAAAAAAAAAAACCCACACACGTGGTCATATCACTGGCGATCTCACACGTGTACTGGGCATAGCCCAGGCGCAGCAGCTCAGACTGCTCTTCGGATATTGTCCTGAGTGCTTACCATAGGCCATGTGATTAGAAGGACCGCAGAAACACGTACATACAGCCTGCACATAAAACACGGGGATCCAAGTCGGGGGTCCTGAGGGCTAATACCAGATCTAAAACACCAAACCTGCTGCTTTGGTGCACTGTGCCCCACACGTCCCTGCCCTATTTGGAGAGCTGGCCCTCTTCCAAGACCTTCTAACGAGGTCATTTCACCACGGAATGCCATTTTAACTTCTCCATTCTCTGAAATTCTATATCAATTTTAATATCCACCAATCTTTTAATTTAACACTTACTCACACACTATGTCATATATACATACATGTACTTTTACCCAGTGAGGCATCTTATTCGCATGTGCATCTCATATTCCTAGAAGAAGAATCCCAGGGTTCTCCCCCCATAAGTTTCCGTCTTGCTGCTTCACGGTTCATGATGCCAGCTGAGGTTGCCAGGACAATGAAACCAAGCTGACGCGGTGGGGGCACGTTATTCTGCCGTTTCTCTACATCTCTGAGTTGCACATCGAACCCGGGGCTGACCACTCCACCCTTGCTGAACCTCCGGTGAGGTGCACAGCACGTTTCCAGCTCTGTGGTCATGGGTGGCTCCAAATATTCCCCAGCGTAACCATCAACGTCACAGCTGGGACCAGACAGTGACTGGAGCACAGCCTGGCGAGAACCCGGCGTGGGCCTCTCTTTTCGGCATTGTTGGCATGCTTGCGGGCACCAGCCAGGACACTCGTGTGCACCTCTACAGCGGCACGGAAAGATGGTGGGAAGACCATGTCCTATTAAAATTGTCAACATGCGTGGCTCCCCCTATCACTTATTATCAACATGCGTGGCTCACCCCATCACTTATTGTCAACATGCGTGACTCCCCCTATCACTTATTATCACCATGCGTGGCTCCCCCATCACCTATTATCAACATGCGTGACGCCCCCTATCACTTATTATCACCATGCGTGGCTCCCCCATCACCTATTATCAACATGCGTGACGCCCCCTATCACTTATTATCACCATGCGTGGCTCCCCCATCACCTATTATCAACATGCGTGACGCCCCCTATCACTTATTATCACCATGCGTGGCTCCCCCATCACCTATTATCAACATGCGTGACGCCCCCTATCACTTATTATCACCATGCGTGGCTCCCCCATCACCTATTATCAACATGCGTGACGCCCCCTATCACTTATTATCACCATGCGTGGCTCCCCCATCACCTATTATCAACATGCGTGACGCCCCCTATCACTTATTATCACCATGCGTGGCTCCCCCATCACCTATTATCAACATGCGTGACGCCCCCTATCACTTATTATCACCATGCGTGGCTCCCCCATCACCTATTATCAACATGCGTGACGCCCCCTATCACTTATTATCACCATGCGTGGCTCCCCCATCACCTATTATCAACATGCGTGACGCCCCCTATCACTTATTATCACCATGCGTGGCTCCCCCATCACCTATTATCAACATGCGTGACGCCCCCTATCACTTATTATCACCATGCGTGGCTCCCCCATCACCTATTATCAACATGCGTGACGCCCCCTATCACTTATTATCACCATGCGTGGCTCCCCCATCACCTATTATCAACATGCGTGACGCCCCCTATCACTTATTATCACCATGCGTGGCTCCCCCATCACCTATTATCAACATGCGTGACGCCCCCTATCACTTATTATCACCATGCGTGGCTCCCCCATCACCTATTATCAACATGCGTGACGCCCCCTATCACTTATTATCACCATGCGTGGCTCCCCCATCACCTATTATCAACATGCGTGACGCCCCCTATCACTTATTATCACCATGCGTGGCTCCCCCATCACCTATTATCAACATGCGTGACGCCCCCTATCACTTATTATCACCATGCGTGGCTCCCCCATCACCTATTATCAACATGCGTGACGCCCCCTATCACTTATTATCACCATGCGTGGCTCCCCCATCACCTATTATCAACATGCGTGACGCCCCCTATCACTTATTATCACCATGCGTGGCTCCCCCATCACCTATTATCAACATGCGTGACGCCCCCTATCACTTATTATCAACATGCGTAACTCCCCCCATCACTTATTTTCAACATGCATGACTCCCCCTATCACTTATTATCAACATGTGTGGCTCCCCCCATCACTTATT